CATGATGTTAGTTTTGATAACTTACGGATTTTTGGTTGTCCTGCTTATGTGCATGTACCTGCTGATGAGAGATCCAAACTTGATGCAAAATCGAAGGAGTGCATTTTTCTGGGTTACAAGAAAGGTGTCAAAGGATTCAAGTTCTGGGATCCAGTTGCGAAGAAAGTTGTGATTAGTAGAGATGTCGTTTTTGATGAACAGTCTATGTTGCAGCAGAAGCAAGACACGACAGTGGTAGATTTCGAGCAGTTTCCAGTTGAGAAACCAGAAACTTCTCAACCGACTTCTGGTGGTTCCACTACGGATGATTTGCAGGATTATAGTCTCGCCAGAGACAGGGTGAGACGGACGAATATAAAGCCTCCGAACAGATTGGGTTTTGAAGACTTGGTATCTTTTGCACTTACTGTTAGCAGTGATGATCCAGTTACTTTTCATGATGCCGTTACTAGTCAGGAAAACGACAAGTGGATGGCAGCCATGGTTGAGGAGATGGAGTCTTTGAATCACAATCGCACATGGGAGTTAGTTCCCCTTCCTGAGGGTAAGAAGCCGATTGGTTGCAAATGGGTGTATAAGAAGAAACCAGCAGTAACAGAAAAAGAGGGGGAGAAGTTCAAGGCTCGTTTGGTAGCGAAGGGTTTTTCACAGCAGAAAGGAGTTGATTATGATGAAATCTTTTCTCCTGTGGTCAGGCACACTTCAATCCGAGCAGTACTTGCATTGGTGGCTAGTTGGGATTTGCATTTAGAGCATATGGATGTTAAAACTGCTTTTTTGCATGGTGATTTAGAGGAGCAGATCTACATGCGGCAACCTGAAGGTTTCACTCAACCTGGAAACGAGCATTTAGTTTGCAGATTGAAGAAATCTTTGTACGGGTTAAAACAGTCTCCGAGACAGTGGTATAAACGGTTTGACTCCTATATGATCAAGATTGGCTACAACCGATGTGAGTATGATTGTTGTGTCTATGTTAAGAGCCTTGATGATGGTTCTTTTATTTTTCTATTACTGTATGTTGATAATATGTTGATTGCTGCGAAGAACATGGATGATGTTATCGGTTTGAAAACTTTATTGAGTCAGGAATTTGATATGAAAGATTTAGGTGCTGCAAAGAAAATTCTTGGAATGGAAATTTGCAGGGACAGAGACTCAAGGAAACTGCGGCTATCTCAACGGGGTTATGTTGAGAAAATGCTAGAAAGGTTTGCGATGAGCAGCGCGAAACCAGTTAGCACTCCATTGGCGAATCACTTTAAGCTCTCATCAGAACAGTGCCCTAAGACAGATAAGGAAGCTGAAAATATGGCAAAGGTTCCGTATTCTAATGCTGTTGGCTGCTTGATGTATGCCATGGTATGTACTCGTCCTGATTTAGCTCATGCTGTTAGTCAAGTTTGTAAGTACATGTCTAAACCTGGTAAGCAACATTGGGATGCAGTCAAGTGGATCTTTCGGTACTTAAAGGGTACTGTGGGACATGGAATTGTTTTTGGGAGTCAGCGGGATAATCCTTTGGTTGTAGGATATGTGGATTCAGATTATGCAGGTGACTTGGATAATAGAAGATCTACGACAGGGTATGTGTTTACTCTTGGTGGAGGGCCTATTTGCTGGAAGTCTACTGTTCAATCTGTCGTGGCACTATCTACAACTGAAGCTGAATACATGGCAGCGGCTGAAGCTGCAAAAGAAGCTTTATGGCTTACTGGTTTAGTGAAGGAGTTGGGTGTTCAACAAGGTGGAGTTCAGTTGCTTTGTGATAATCAAAGTGCTATTCACTTGGCTAAGAATCAGGTGTATCGTGCTAGAACTAAACATATTGATGTAAGGTTCCACAAGATCAGAGATTTGGTTGCATTTGGAGAGGTTTTGTTTCAGAAGGTACATACTGATGAAAATGCCGCTGATATGTTCACTAAGCCAGTTACGACAGACAAGTTCAAGCATTGCTTGGACTTGTTGAATGTTTCGAGTTGTTAAAGAATCAAGGTAACCCAACCCACATTGAATTTTCAAGAGGCAGGATATTCGCCAAGGTGGAGATTTGTTAGGTATGGCTCATAAATATACCAGTAAAGAGGACAGGAGATGGAGCGGAGTGAGCGAAGCGAACGCAGCGAACATCAACTGTCCTTACAAAGAAAGTCTCGTTGTGGGGTTACGAATTATGTGGGTTGAGGGGTGCGGGGGCGCAACCCCCGCGGTACGGTACAGGGTTAATTTTGTAATTATGTACCAGGGTTTTCTATTATAAATAGAGATGTAACCTAGACCTAAAATATCATTGAATAAAAACTTCTAGCGCCGCCTAGGCACCGAGGACGTAAGCACATTGCCGAACCTCGTAAAATTCTCGTGTTCTTTTGTTTTCTTTACCCGTTTTCGTCAACAATTTCCTTACCAGTATCTTTGTTTCTTATAGATAAATGATGTCATTAATCAAGCTCAAATGACAAGGGCTGTGTTGGGCTCTCAAAGAGCTTTGTTTGGAGATGTTCAAGGGAAAGTAAAAGTTCTAAGTGACAAGTTCCCTGTTATTCGTGGCTTGCTTGGTACTATATTGTGCATCTTTATTGCAGAGATTTTATACATATGTAGAATTATTTTCTATACTAATTAAAAGTCCCCTATTTTCTAGGTTCCATGAGGAGGCGTTCAAGAGATACTCATATTCTGTCAGCAGTCATTGCTGCTTGTACATTGTTCCGTATTATCCATTGGCTCTCGAAGTAACTAGAGATACGAGTTGTTAAAACACGAATGTCGAAAGTGGTTGTGTTTCACTAAGAGTACTTTGCTTTGTAATTTGTTAGAACAGGTCATATTCCCTATGAAGGTTGAGTGGTACCTTCCTTTGGTAACCACTACACAGAGTCACAATTTTCTTTCATCTGAAAATCATTTGCAGTTGATGTAGTCAATGGACGGTTCATTGTCACGCTTCATGGTTGAGTCAATTTCAAATATGATCACATAGGGCCTGATATGAAACTTATCTATCACCTTAGCTTACAAGTTTTTTGTCTTTCATAAACGTGCATGATTTCATACGATCTAGTGTCATTCACTTATTTCACATGTTGTTGGTAACTTTACTTTGCCTGCCTGGATTGCCTCTAAAAGCCTTAATTTCACTGCTGTCCTTTGTGCAGCTGCTTCCAGGATCTTGTTCAAAGCTTTATTCAATTTTCCTTCCTTTTTCATGTTTTATATCCCAACTCACATTTGCCAAAGAAATTGGGGGGAGGCGGGAATCCTTGCATTTTCACTGTCGTTTCTCATATTCAATTTTAACATTTTTGCATGATTCGAGTATGGGAAACGTCGAAACCGGACTTCACTCTCGGCCTATAACTCAACTATTATTTTTCTGATATAAAAGTTTCATGGGGTTATCGTAAGAATATATTTTCAACATTGTTTTAATCAAAAGTGTACTCAAATAATATATTTTTAATTTAAAATGACACATTTTTAACAAAGTTATGATTGTGTGGAAGTGTCTTCTGAAATACGCGTTTTGGAGGAAGCGTTTTTGCCTACGTGACAAGTCATTCGAGTGGTTTTTCCAACGCTGGCATCATCGGGACCAAAATAAAAAAATAAAAAGTTTATATTTTGACTAAAATTATAACTGATAATTAAGTTAAATTTTATTATGAAGATTACTTGATAACCTAAGTTTATTTAGTTAAGAATTTTATATTCCAAGTTTTTTATATAAATATTAAAATCTAGGATATATGATATCATGTATTTTATCTTTTGTGATCTCTATATTTTTAGTGAATTATTATTATTTTCATATGTGGAGGTATGTAAAGTTAAATCACGTTAAATTTCATCTGTTGCACACGTCTTATTTTGATATTGATCTTACTTTATTATTTTTCTGCTTCCAAATTTCTACAAGTGATTTCATGATATATGGTTCGAGTTATGGAATTTTAAAAGAAATTGTTATTGTATATTATTATTTACGATATTGAAGATATATAAGAGGGTTTTTCCCTACAATGTTTTCTAATTGCAATGAAGTAATTCTCTTCCTTCAACAGAAATTATATGTGACTTATTGATATTATTGAAGATTTGATGACAATGCTTCAAAATATATGTGACTTATGCATCGATTAAAATTGTTGAAGACTTGAAGATAATTTTTTAATAAAACTTATAATTGATAATTAAGTTGATTTTTTTTATAATTTTACTGATTGAAGATTACTTGTTAATTAAGTTTATTTAGTTAATAGTTCTTATTAAGTTTATTTAGTTAATAGTTCTTATTCCATAAGAAGTTGATGACTATGTAGCTGACTATATACGTAGAAAATACGCATTGACCATTACAATTATGAGATAGAATTATTTGAGAGAGATGTAATCATTTTGGAATCTCTCTAACTTTTGAGGTTTATATTACAGAGATAAATTTTGTAAGGATATTGATATTTTAGGTTTTGGTATAGATCGATATTGGATATTAGGATAAAATATATTTGTAACTTTTGTGATATCTACGTTTATAGTTGATTATAATTCTTCTAGTCCGCGATAAGGTTGTACCACATTAAATCTTGTATCCCATGCCTATCTTATTTTATGTTGATTTTTCTTTATTATTTTTCTCTAGTCTACTGTTTGATTAACTCATTTGATAAATAGTTTTCAATTTTTTTTCTTTGTTTGAGTATGAATTTAGCATAATACCTTGCTACCACGAGAAACTTGAAGATATAATCATTAAATCTCAATGGGGTGAGTTTGAAACATTTCAAATATTTTTTAGGCTAAAATCTTTTCACTGTAATAAAACGAGTTTTTAGCGGCGTTTTTACCATTGCAGATAACCACAGCCTCAAATACCTCTTCTTTCAATTCCCATGTCGACTCAGTCTCCCGAATCCTCGACTCAACAACCCACTCGTGACTTATCTCATTAACAAGCTCCACCCGAGCCACTTCATGTCCGAATCGAATAAACTCCATCAACCCAAAATCCATGGCAAAATCCTCAAGAAACCTGAGACCTCTTCGTGACCCGGAAACGTCCTCGGATCCCCACCTTCTTGCTTAACAAATGGATAGTCCAAGAAGCTCATTGTCTGCCCAGGAATACTCACTCGAAGGGATCTGTACAGGCTAATATGAACTATTTCACGATTCGGGTCAAGACCCAGTGGGTCATAGAGCCAAATACCACCAACTTTGTTGACCTTTTCGAAGACAGTGACACGGTGACCTTCTCTTTGAAGCTCCCTGGCCGTTACAAGCCCGGCAGCACCAGCTCCGATCACCGCTACCTTATAAGATTCTCCCATTTTCACCACTACTATAACGATCCAAGCCTTACAAATTTGACAAAACTAACTTATACCACCTTTTTATGGAGAGCGGCATTTACATAACGCATTTATATAGTTTTTCTTGGTAGAATTATAATTTTTGGAAAGGCCATGCCATCTGCTGCAGCGTATGAACAGTTTTTGAGGGACCACTTGTTTCTGGATTGTTGACGTTGAACTCCAGTTGCGCTGCTCATGCCGCTTCACCTTTGTTTCACATCAAATACATGTCGATGAAGTTCGTTAACCCTAAATCTTGCATTATACAACCTTAGCATGAATGCCTAAGCATGATTTTCCCTCGACAAATCATGCAATTATTAACATTTTAGTTAAGGGGTCAACCATGCACCGCACAATAAATACTTCATTATTATTTATAAATTATGCTCATACATATAAATTTATAAATTCATATACCACGTAATATACATGCAAGAAAAATGCATAAATTATTAGTATAACATACTTTTTAAGATATCTTAATATATTTTTAATATTTTGTGTAGAAACAATTATACCCAAAGCACAAAGCGTCTAACCATCTTCATATAAGAATGTGTAAATAATTTTTCTTAATTTTATTAAAATAAACTCATAATAAATTTTAAACATATAAAAATTTTATTTTTAAAGAGTCTCAATTTCTCATTATAAATAGATGTTTGAATAGTGAGTATATTTAACAAATAATACATCAGATACATTGATTTTGGTCCTATTAAGCCATTTTAAAAAAATTCCAGGAAACAGTATTCTGTAAAAGCCAAATGGGCATGTGATGATTGGCAGATCCAACAAACAATATTTATGCAGTTCCATTCAACAATTAACTTTGACCAAAATAAAGAAAAGGGGAAATAATGTCTTCCCTTCAAATGATTAATGGTGAATTTAGGAATACAGTACAGAATTTTGCATATACATTTCTTTTTCTTTGGATCGTTGTCTCGGTTTTTCATGATTTTATCTTGATTAATTCAGATTTATTCGTGTTGTATCTTTGCATACATATTGATATACAACAATATTATTTATATGATTTATGATATCCGGAAGTTAATCAGAAGAATGTATTTGTTGTATCCATTTGTCGATGTCCCATATATCCCGGTAATTTTCACCATAATGTAATACCCCTTCAAGGACGGAGAACACCGTTATTTCTTTCCACATTTTAAGGGGCTTTATGTTCAACTGAGCAGCAAGCCAAGTTACATATTCAACGTCCTCCATCATAAGGCTATGAGTATGACGCTTGGGCACTCCGGCCTTCTCCAGATCACTGTAATGTTCTTCAACAGAAGATGCCATCGCTTTTTCAGACGGCAACTCCACCGTGCCGGACAAAACTTTTGCCACCCATTTCGCTTGTAATTCCATCACCCTAAACACTACCGCCTGCATCGTGTAAACATTTCTTTCCAATGTCAAATCTTGATGACTATAAATAAACCAGCAGTTGAGCAAAAGTATGATTTGGAAGACAAAAAGTTTACCCTGCTAGTTAGTCCCACAAATGAGAGCCAAGGAGCTAAGCTTGGTGGAAATACATGCTTATACATAGGTCCAACACGGTTGTTGTCCACAGTAACTATCCCATTTGACTTGAGAAATGGGTAATGGAATTTGTACCTGCAATAAACTTGATTGACAAGCTTATTTAAATCTAAGGATAAAGGCTTTAAAGTAGAAATACCCAGTACAATGAATAATGACATCTGCATCAACAACTGAACAATCTTGGAATACTACCTTACCATCCTTATGTGCACATTCAATCTGCAGAAAACAGTCAGTCTATTTGGGGAGGAAGGAGCTTAAAGCTAAACTTTAAACCAATAAAATGTATAACAAACCATTAAATGTTGCCAAGCGTTATCATAATGGTCCACATTTAACAACTTAAAACTAGGTGTTCTAACAGCCATATGAACTTGTTTTGCAAGAGGGGACATCTCTTTCAAAATGTCAACGGCAGTTGCTCCATTCCCAATGAGAATCACTATCTGTCAACCATAAGTCACAAACATTATAGCAATTATATTGTCTCGAGGACTCCAGGGTGATTGAAAATGGTTCAGTACCTTGTTTTCAAACGCTTCAGGAGTACGATAGTTATGGCTATGTATTTGTAATCCTGGCCAAGTATCTCTACCTAAAATATAACAAAAATGATCATATCTATTAGCAACAGGCAATTAATGGAACAAAAATGCATACTTGTTCCATATAATCTTAAGCAGGTTCTCTACCAGGAAATTCTGCAACGTTTGGCACCGATTTATTACCATTACATATAACTACGGCTTCAAACAACTCATCCTTGGATTCCCATGTTGACTCGGTTTTTCGAGTCCTCGACTCAACAACCCACTCTTGAGTCAGCTCATCAACTAGCTCCACCTGAATCACTTCATGTCCAAATTGAATCAGCTCCATCAACCCAAAGTCCCTGGCGAAATCCTCAAGAAACCTGAGCACTTCTTCATGACCTGGAAAAGTCCTCGGATCCCCACCTTCTTTCTTCAGAAATGGATAGTCCAAGAAGCTCATGGTCTGCCTAGGAAGGTTAGCTCGAAGGGAATTGTAAAGGCTACTATGAACTATTTCCCTATTCGGATCAAGACCCAATGGGTCGGTCTCCACCTGTGGATCATAGCGCCAAATACCGCCAACTTTGTTGGCCTTTTCAAAAACAGTGACATGGTGACCTCCTCTTTGAAGCTCCCTGGCCGTAAGAAGCCCTGCCGTGCCAGCTCCGATGAACGCTACCTTATAAGATTCTTTTCTCATTCTCACCGCTATAGCCAAGGCGTACCATTTTCATTTTTATATATAAGCATTGAAGCCTGGCAAATTGGACGATGCCAGAGCGGCATTTACATCATTGCTTACGAATTCATTTAGTTCCAACATATATTGTTTAGGTACATTATAATTTTTAAAGTCAAAGAGATGCATTAACATCATTGCTTACGAATTTATTTAGTTCATACATATATATATTTTTTAGGTACATTATAATTTTTAAAATCTCAGTCAAATTCTACTGACCGGTTGTTATACATTGATATGCAACAACATTATTTATAGCATTTATGGTATGCGGAAGTTAATCGGAAGAATCTATTTTTTGTATCCATTTGTCAATGTCCCATATATCCCTAAAATTTTCACCATAATGTAATATCCCTTCTACGAAGGAGAATACCGTTATTTCTTTCCACATTTTCAGGGGCTTTATGTTCAACTGAGTAGCAAGCCAAGTTACATATTCAACCTCCTCCATCATAAGGCTATGAGTATGACGCTTGGGCACTCCGGCCTTCTCCATCTCACTGTAATGCTCTTCAACAGAAACTGCCATTGCTTCTTCGGACGGAAGCTCCACCGTGCCAGACAAAACTTTTGCCACCCATCTCGCTTGTAATTCCATCACCCTAAACACAACCGCCTGCATTGTGGAAACATTTATTTCAAATGTCAAAACTTCATGACTATAAATAAAACCAGCATTTGAGCAAAACTTAGATGGAAAACAAAGTTTACCCTGTTATTTAGTCCCACAAATGAGAGCCAAGGAGCTAAGCTTGGTGGAAATACATGTTTATACATAGGTCCAACACGATTGTCGTCCACAGTAACTATCCCATTTGACTTGAGAAATGGGTAATGATATTTGTACCTGCAATAAAATTCATATCATAAGATGATTGACAAGCTTATTTAATTGTATTTTAATGCATTTATAATAATGTTTTTTCTCAATCCTTTTAGTAGTAAAATGTATCACGGTTATCGATATTTTTAGGCTCCGGATACATGTTTCTTATATTGGTCTTTTTCTTTATATGTGATTCTACGAGATTCCTTGGTTGTTTGCTTTCTTGATGTCTGGTTTCTTCGTTCATTTGTATATGACATTTTGTTGGTTTTCGGATATATGTGTCGGTTAGTGTTTGTCTAGACAAATACTAATTTCTTCATTTACCCTGAATTTACTACGCGGATTAGATATTCCATTGTTTACCCAATTCTTAATCTTGCTCTTCTCGCAATGCCATCCTTTGGTCGTGTTTCCTTTATCTACGCCATGTCTTCTTTTGACGGTCAATATTTTGTCTCTCTCAATTCTTCTTATGATAATAGGATGAAACAGTATTTAAGGAGGGATTAGTTTTTCATTCGTCCACTTAGGATATTCTTTAGGTTCTATGGGTTCGCTTTTTTGCTCACCAGTTTGTCACCAGTCGTTCACCGTTATATTTTATTTATGATTGTCTTGAATGTATTTATGATATTGTTCTAAATTATGCCGATTATAACTAATACAATCTACATGCCTATTTCAAAAAGAAAAAAATCTATAGGACAAAGGGTTTAAAGTAGAAATACCCAGTACAATGAATAATGACATCTGCATCAACAATAGAACCATCTTGGAATACCACCTTACCATCCTTCAGTGCACATTCAATCTACAGAAAATAGTCAGTCTATTGTGAGGAGAGCTTAAAGGTGAACTTTAAATCAACTTAATTGATAAAATGTATAACAAACCATTGAATGTTGCCAAGCGTTAGCATAATTTTCCACCCTTATCATCTGAAAACTAGGTGTTCTAACAGCCAAATGAACTTGTTTTGCAAGAGGGGAGATCTCTTTCAGAATGTCAACTGCACTTGGTCCATTCCCAATGAGAATCACTATCTGTCGACCATAAGCCACAAACATTGTAGCAATTATATTGTCAGGGTTCAGATGTGTTGAGTGATGATATTGGAGTTCAAAAACATATTGCTATGTTTGGAGATTAATGTAGAGGATTACAAGGTAACTGGAGTGACGGATAGATGATTTTATGTTAGAGAAAAAATATATTATCAATAGAAAAAATAAATAATATATTAAAATTATATGAAAATTTAAATTTTTTTACGGAAGCCACTGCCCGCCAGCTCCCCCTGGATGATTGAAAATGGTTCAGTACCTTGTTTTCAAACGCTTCAGGAGTACGATAGTTGTGGCTATGCATTTGTAATCCTGGCCAAGTATCTATGCCTAAAATACAACAAAAAACTCAATTAGAATTGTGATGAAAGTAAATGCATATTTGTTCATATAGCTTTAGCAGGTTCTTTACCAGGAAAATCTGCAACGTTTGGCTCCGATTCATTACCATTACATATAACTACAGCTTTAAACGACTCCTCCTTGGATTCCCATGTTGACTCAGTTTTTCGAATCCTCGACTCAACAACCCACTCATGAGTCAGCTCATCAACTAGCTCTACCCGAATCACTTCATGTCCAAATTGAATCAGCTTCATCAACCCAAAGTCCCTGGCGAAATCATCAAGAAACCTGAGCACTTCTTCATGACCCGGAAAAGTCCTCGGATCCCCACCTTCTTTCTTCACAAATGGATAGTCCAAGAAGCTCATGGCCTGCCTAGGAAGGTTAGCTCGAAGGGATTTGTACAGGCTACTGTGAACTATTTCGCGATTCGGATCAAGTCCCAATGGGTCGGACTCCACCCGTGGATTATAGAGCCAAATACCGCCAACTTTGCCGGCCTTTTCAAAAACAGTGATATGGTGACCTTCTCTTTGAAGCTCCCTGGCCGTAAGAAGCCCTGCCGTGCCAGCTCCGACGACCGCTACCTTATAAATTTTTCCCATTTTCACCACTACAGCTAAGGCATACCATTTTCATTTTATATATAAAGCCTTGAAGCCTGCAAATTTGACGAAGCCAGCGTTTACCTCCACTCCATAATATATACTATTTGTTCACATCATTTACATTGTCAAAACTCAAAAGTCAATGTGGAATTTACATCATTGCTTACGAATTTGTTTAGTTAAAATTAATATGGTAATGGTTAATGGTGATATTTTGATTAAATTAATATTTTAATTGAAGTTGAATGTTAAATTGATATTACTTAAAGTTTAGATATAAAATTAAAAATTATTCATTTTTAATGTATCACGTAGATTTAAGTAACAAAAATTAATGATTCATTGATTGGGTCAATTGAAATAATAAGAATTAATGATTCAATGATTGAATTATAACAAATTACTATTATAAATGATTGAAACGTAACTTTACAAGAGGTAAAATAATGTCTCACTTTCAAATGGTAAAAGGTCAATTCCGGATTATAGAACTTTGCACACATACGTGTACACAGAAATATATATATTTGGCATGCAACTGCAAGTATTATTTATGTTATGGTAAATGATTGGAAGAATCTATTTCTTGTATCCACTTGTCAACATCCCATATGTCCCGATAATTTTCGCCTTAGTATAATCTCCATTTAGCGATGGCGTTAGACGTCATTTCCTTCCACCTACTGGGGAGCCTTATGTCCAGGTTAGAAGCAAGCCAACCCACATATTCAACCTGCCACAAGAAACTCAACACAATCAAAACAAGCAGATTCAGAGACAGAAACCGAGACCTAGTTGTGGAAAGTGGTGACCTCGTCGTTCAAAAGGCAATGAGTAAGATGCTTGGACAATCCGCTCTTCCCCATCTCACTGTATAGCTTTTCAACAGAATCTGCCATTGCTTCTCTAGACGGAAGCTCCACCTTGCCTGACAAAACTTTTGCCACCCATTTTGATTGTAGTTCCATCACTCTAAAATTTAATGCCTGATTGTGTGAACGCCAATATCAAAACTTTAAATGTAGAGCCAAGTGCCACCAACTTTGTTGGCCTTTTCAAATACAGTGACATGGTGACATTCTCTTTGAAGCTCCCTGGCCGTGAGTAGCCCAGCAATGCCACCACCGATGACCGCTACCTTATAAGATTCTCCCATTTTCAGCACTATAACGATCTCAATTGTCGACGATCTGCTAAATGATGGATGCTGATAAAGAGCCTTAAACGAAGTTGCCTTGTACCCCACTCAGTGAAAATATTATTTTATTACATGTGAAAGACAGAATACTAGTTATATCGATGTAATGATGTTTGATACGATTTCAGCAGTATCGTTTATCCAAGAAATTGCTACCCCTACTAATTTTGTAATAAATCGGTTGTTTTCTTTACCCTAATACATCGGTTTTTAAATACATCCGTGGGCTAAGCATCAATGTCGATGATTTTGTCTGCTTCAGTGGCTTAACGGCCGAATCAAATTTTAATCCAAGTTGACAGAAAATTAAAGCTCAATGATCATTGAAATGCAAGAAATATTGGAAAATTTCATCATTCATCACTCCTTAATTTTCAAAGGATACTTTTATGCACAAAGCTCTCTTTCAAGTTGATTGAAACTTATCTTTAAATTCCAAATTAGAAACCAGATATTCATGCGGCTGAATCCTTAATATTTTTGTCAATTATTTTGTTTATAAAATATGTTCAATTTGAATGAGATTTTTTTTTGTATTTTTCAATAAAGTAATTAGATTTGTTGTTACATGTAAAATTATTCTATTATCATACGACAACTTGATAATTTAACCTAACGAACTAAATAAGATAATCTCATATACTCGATATTATGTTCAATAATCTTGCATTTCAATAATCTTATAAATAATCTTCAATGTTAAACCACATTAATATCTATTTGACATTTTAGCTAAAATTGTCTAGCTTTGAACAACTAGATTGTTAGCTAAATTGTTCATTGCTCTCACACTAAATTATAAATATTAAAAAAAAAATCTTATGAGTTATGAGCTAACTTCGTGAGTAAATGAAATTAAAAAAACACATATATAATATAGGGGAAGAAGAAAAATTAATTTAATTACAAAAAAAAATATCAAATATCAAATTTAAATATTCTTAAAGCAAAATTAATTAAAACAATTAAATTGTATAATGCAGATCAAAACGTTGCATATATCTTCATTTGATATGCAAGCAAGCATTGTGTATGGGATTGATTTATATAGTCTGTGGAGTTTAATTGGAAGAATCTACTTGTTGGATCCATTTGTCAACATCCCATGTATCCCGATAATTGTCACCGTAATGTGATCTTATTTTCTGAATGAAGGAGAACATTATTTCCTTCCACCTCTCCGGCGGCTTTACGCCCGACTGAGCCGCCAGCCAACTTTCATATTCAAACTGCCAACAAACAACAACACAATAAGCAAAGAGACAGGCGCCACACAGAGAGATCTGGTTGTAGAAATTGGAAACCTTGTCCTGCTGAAGCCTATGAGTAAGATTATTGGGTCGACCAGTCTTCTCCATTTCACGGTAAAGCTCTTCGACCCAATATGCCATCTCTTCTCTGGTTGGAAGCTTTACCTTTCCAGACAGAACTTTTCCCACCCATTTCGCTTGTAATTCCATTACTATAGAGGGTACTGGCTGATTATGTAAATACCTATGTTAAAACTTGAAATGCAATTCACAGAATATTATTCAATCTATTCAATACTTGGACTAAGCAAATGCATAGAAACCCATGAGATGCAATGATGACTAAAAACGCTCGATTTAGCTTTGAATCTTTGGCAGCATGGATGAACGCATTATTTTATGATGGGAAAAACTTATAAAATTTTAAAGACTAGAATAGATTACCTATAAAAGATACAAAGAAAATATCCAGTTACGTATTTCAAGAGATTAAATCATTTTTTCAGTTACGTAAAAGATATTAGAAAATGCCCAGTGCAATGAATAATGGCATCTGCATTGACAATTGATTCATCTTGGAATACCACCTTACCATCTTTATGTGCACATGCAATCTACATACCAAAAAAAATGACCAGCTTAAAGTTCAATTTTAAAGCTACTTAATTAATTGGAAAAATGAATAACAAACCATTGAATGTTGCCAAACGTTACCATGATTTTCCAGTTTTTTCAATTGAAAATCAGGTCCCCTGATAGCTTGATGGACTTCTTTTTCAAAAGGGGCGAGCTCTTTCAGAATGTCAATGGCACATGCTCCATTCCCGATGAGCACCACAACCTGCCAGAACCCCGAATTACTACAATAATTTATATTTTCTTTGGATCGAGATGTGAGGATTTCTCATGCTAAAATTAACAGACAATCACTATGTTTGCAGAATCGTGTAGAAGATTGCAAGGTAATTGTAATCAACATCGAGTTCTGATTGTAAATTGTTTAATATCTTGTTTTTAAATTGTTGAGGAATCCAATAATTATGGCTATGCAGTTGCAGCCCTGGCCATTACCAAACTGGTTTTACGTATTAACTACACACAGAGACTTCCTATCAAAAAAAAAAAAAAACCTACACACAGAGAGATTATAACGAGCATAAAGAAATGGAGTTAATGCAATCTCCAGACCGACATAAATAAAATACCTGAAAATTCTGCAATGTTTGGCTCTGTGGATTTACCATTGCAAATAACCACGGCCTCAAACACTTCTTCTTTAGATTCCCATCTTAATTCATTCTCTCTAGTCCTAGACTCAACAACCCACTCGTGACACACCTCATCAACTCGCTCCACCCGAACCACTTCATGCTCAAATCGAATCAACTCCATCAACCCAAAGGCCCTGGCAAAATCCTCGAGAAACCTGAGCACCTCTTCATGACATGCCTCGGATCTCCACCTTCTTTCGCCACAAATGGATAGTCCAAGAATCCCATGATCTGCCTAGGAAGGTTAACTCTAAGGGATCTGTAAAGGCTACTATGAACTATTTTCTGATTCGGGTCAAGGCCTAATAGATCAGTCTCCACCCGTGGATCATAGAGCCATGTCCCACCAACATTGTTGGCCTTTTCAAATACGGTGACTCGATGACCTTCTCCTTGAAGCTCCCTGGCCGTAACAAGCCCGGCAGTGCCGCTTCCGATGACCACTTTTGAAGCTCTTAAAAATAGTGGGCTTCTGGAATTAACCTGAGTAATTTTAGTGGAGTTGATAGGAGGAGCTTGAGCCATTCCTAGGTTCATAACTGATATCTTCAACAACTTCGACAAGATGACATGGTTTTCATTTCTCTGAAACGTATACGACAACTGTTAATAGGAAAACTTGAGCCCAAACAACTTAACATCATCGAATTATTGTTTCCCACTAAAACTATTCTCGTCGATTTTCGGCAAATTCATGCATGAAATGACTATTGTCTTCCAATATCTTGGTTTGCTCTATGCCCGACTCCCAGAGTATTCCAAACTTGCAATGTTCAAGCAATTACAAAGATTTATGTAAATGAGTTTGTCTAAATAGTTCAGAGTAATTATAGAAACCACACTAATTAGACACGAACCCCGGTTGAAGTGTGAAGAAGCTCTTTTCAGCATCTAAAAGCTAATTACAATTACAGCAAAGCTATATCTTCCCAGCAAACTTAAAGCTCAAACCTATCAGCATAAGGGAATGCAATCTGTTGCGGAAGACGGCTATCAGATAGAGCAAAATCGCAACTGATAATTTGAGAAAATAAAAATGAAGATAAAAGAGACACAAAATTTACGTGGAAAACCCCTAAAAATAGGGTAAAAACCACGGGAAACGGTAGAAGAATTTCACTATGAGAAAATAGGAATTACAACCTCTCTCGATCTACCAACAAGAAAACAATGATAATTCTCTCTCGATAAAAAGGAGAAAACAACTCTAAAAAAACTCTCTAAATTCTCTCTAGTATTGGAAGAAAGCTAGAATGCTTTGGGATGATTTTGAATCTAAATGAGCTAGGGTATTTATAGT